CCGAGATACTAGATCACGTCCATTATTTAAAAGATGTGTATAAGAGACAGGCTGATAATCAACTTAAATAATTTGATATGCATCAAGCACTATTCCAATCAATATGGTGAAATCGATATTGTATTTTGTTTGAAAGGAATAGAAAATGAATTTTGTGAATGAAACGATCGTTGTCAACTGATGAATCCTAGATAAGATAGTATATACATTATTCCCGATGATCGATCATTCCTGATGATGACATAATTAATGTCGAAAAATTGAATCCCGACACGATGGCGTGTAATTCGATACTTGGGAGTATGTATTAAACGATCTTGGTTTACAGACAAAAGCAGTTGACACATTAAGGTGTAACTCAGACGAGTTTTAAGAAAAGCAAGTATGACGTTATTGACTTAGTATTGTTGCTTGTCAGTGTTTGCCTCAACTGGTCTAAAGAATCAACCTTTAAGTGAAGTGGACCAACCCTAATGCAGAGTTGCTTACATTCGCGTCAGCATGACTGGTTTGCTATAGTGTGAATCACGTATTAGAAATTTTTACGACAACGATAACAAATACACAAGTACGTCACTTTTAAGTTGTTGATACTTCGCTCTACAACCAATCAGGGATTCTCAACTGAAACACGTACAGAAGATGATTTTGCTTAGGCCGCTTTTATCGTTATACGGCGTGTTAATTTGAAAGTTCTATTAAATTAGGTAATCAGCCTATATTATCGATGTCTACTATCGAGATCGGCAAAAAAATTAAAATGATTGAGCGTTACTGCATGTATTATCATTTCTGTATACAGTTATCTCTCTAATCGTCTGATGTAAACGACACCGTATCTTATTCTTATTTTTCAGTGCAACGTTCGTTGAATCTTTTACAACATATTGGGTGGATGTTGTGTCAGCTCAAGTCAGTGGTAAGATTTAATTTTGTGTTTGAAAAATAACGTTGGGTAAAATTAATGTCCTTTCTGCCTAGCTACACACTCATTTAATTGTGAGGATGCATGGAGGAATTAGTTTTAGTTTTAACTTATTACTCCATGGAAAATGAAGGTACTGGAATGGATGATTTTCATGAAGTTCATAAAATTGCTACACTTTCGCTACAGCGTTTTTACTACAATCGTTGCACTACACTGTCTTCGGCGCAGTCGAATAGGCTGTCAGTTCGACTGAAAATACAGGGTCGTCGAAAGCGATTTTATGGAGACAGGGATTTACATTTCAAGTACCGTAACCCTAATATTGATCTTATATAATATTATAATTATACTACACAATTTTCAGAGATTTCTTGCCCAACTTGTTTTAATGGTGGTACTTGTGACACTAGTACTGGAGCGTGCAACTGTGATGGAACTGGGTACACTGGGTCTACCTGTCAAACACGTAAGCATGCGACTTTACGTACTTTATGTAGAAATTACTACACAACACATATTGAAAAGTTACATAAGTTACAAAAATTAGCAGTTAGACTAATAACAAATTCACCCCGAGATACTAGATCACGTCCATTATTTAAACAATTTAATATGCTTACAATCTTTGATATAGATAAGGTACAGGCAGTATGTTTTATTTCTAGATATCATCTCAGGCAATTACCCGCTCCCTTATGTGAAATCCTTGATGGTAATACAAAAAGTGAACGTGCAAAAGCCCTAAGAAATTCAAACAAAATGTATGTACCTTTTTCAAGACTGACATCATGTCACAGATCTATTTTTATTCACGGACCAAATATCTGGAATGAGCTATATGATAGCCTTTTAAAAATAAATTCGCAAAATTCGATCAAAAATAAATCGAAAGAGATGATTTTAAATACTTATTAAGGAAAACTTTTCTTGGGAGTCGACTATGATCGCTGGCACTTTCCGGGGCAGTACACTGTCGAAGATGTCTTGGTGTCTGAGGCGCACGGTATTATTACTATGACGTGATGATCACTGATGCATTTCCCCTTCCTGGAGGTGCCGGCGGTTGTGGGCGATCCCAAATTTAAAAATTAAAATGTTGATGTGTTTACTATGTATTCTGTGTGTGTGTATGTTTTGTATGTTTGGTATTCAAACTGACAAGCCACCGCTTCTTTTGATGCCTATGTAAACAATTTGCAATTTGTAATTTGTTGTGGATTTTTTCTGAATAAATGTATGTACTTCATCATAAATAGTTCATTCACAAAATCGATAAATGGTGTGTGAACATGTTAGTTTTAATTTTATATTGTATTTTTGTTTCGATTTGTTTTCAATTTATTTTGAGACATAATGGCACATAAAAGTAATTTAAATATTTTTTAAATAATTGTAATAATCTCTGATGAATTTAGTTTAATTGTTATTGTCAGAGTAGTGTGAGGTTATTTTATAGTGAATTTATCCTATGTAATGTTCTATCAATATATATA